GGGAAGCAGAAGAGGCGTCACCATCTCACCCCACCTCAGGACTGTACGGCCTCTCCAAACCCCCCTTTACTCGCCGCCAGCCACACGTGTAGGCGCGTGCCTGGACACCCTCCCGCGCGCCCAGCTCCCCGCCCCCCCACCAGAAGCAACTGGGGGGGCCTTGGTCTAGCCACCAGCCACAACCCTGGCGCCGGGACTGGGGGTGCGCTCTCGGGCCCCAGCCCCTCCCCACGATCTCAACCCCCGCGGCTCAAGGTCAAGGCGGCGAGCGCCGGGGGCTGGGGGAGGGGCGGGAGGTCGCCCCGGCCCCTTTGTGCAGCGCCGCCAGCGCTCGCCCCGCGCCGCCGCCTCGGGCCCGCGCGGGGGAGGGGAGCGCGGCGCGGGGGGGGGGGAGCCCCGCGCGGGGGGGGGCGGCCGCGCTGTCACTCAGAGCCGCTGTCACCGCCGGGGAGGGGGCGGGAGCGCGGGGACCCGGGAGTCCGGCGTCCCGAGGCGGGAGCGGCAGCCGCGGCGAGCGCGCGGGGCGGAGAGAGGTGGAGCGAGCGCGGGGGGCGGCGAGGGGGCTGGGGGGGAGCTGGGCTCGAGCCGGGGCGTCCCCGCCGCCGGCCGCTGGGCCCCGAGGCAGCTCGCGCGGAGGAGGGACGCGGAGGGGGAGCGGGAGGGAATCCCCGGGGACCGCGGGCGCCCTCAGCACCCTCTCCCCGGCGCCCGGTCCCCAAGGGGATGCGAGACGCTCGAGGTGCATTTGTAGGGGCGGGGAGAGGGAGGGACCCCACGTTCTAAGCCGGCCGGGCGTCGGGGTCCGGGGAGGGAACGGGGCGTCAGCGCCCTAACGGGGACCCCCGACGTCTCCGCTCCTGCGCCGCGGCGCGCGGCCCGGGGTCCCCGGAGAAAGGGGCGGGAGGGAGAGAAGGGCGCGTGGACGGGAGCGCGGGGGGCGGCGAGACCCGGGGGCGGAGGCTGCACGTCGGCGCCCGCGCCCCGGCCCCGGGCGAGCAGGCCCGGCGACCCGCGGACTTGTTGGAGGAGACATGGGGGTGGCGGCGAGGGGGCGCCCCTACCCCCACTCTGGGTGGGGAATCGGCCTCCGCCACCCCCAGCCCGCGCCACATTCCTTCACTGACAGCGACAAAGAAGAGGCGCCCCCGAGACACCGGAGGGGCTCCCGCCCCCAACCCCAGGGGGCGACGGGGGGCGGGGAACGCCCCACGCGCCTGGGGGGGCGCGCTGGGCGCCCCCATTCAACTCCCAGGCCCGCGCTGAGCCCCCTGCCCTGCGAGGGCGGGGGAGGGGCCGCGGCGGGGTGTCGGGCGGGGGACGTGGGCGGCGGGGACACTCACGACTTGAGCGGGTTCTGAATGGCGGTGGCCATGGCCGGCTCGGCTGGGCCGCCTCCGGCCCGGGGCGCCGCTGCCGCCGCGCGCGGGCCCAGCCCGGCCTGCGCCGCCCGCTCTGCCGCCCAGCGCGCTACGATTTCATTCATTCTTGGGGCTGCGGCGCGAGCGGAGCGGGGCGGGCCGGGGGCGGGGCCCGGCCAATCCCCGCGCCTCCCGGCGCACGACGGGACCTGGAGTCTAGGGGCGCGCGGCGGCGCCCGAGGGCGCCCCTCTCCGGACTACACGTCCCAGGGGGCTGCGGGAGGGCGGCGCGCCCATTGGCTACTGGAGATTCGGGGCGGGGCCGGGCGCGCCCCGGAGCATCCGTCCCCCCTGCGCGGGGCGCCCCGCTCCCGACTCCCGCTCGCCGGGCTCCGGGCGCTGGGTGCGCAGGGGCGCCCGGCTCCTGGGTCTCCCCGGGGTGCGTGGATGACCCCAGACGCTGCGCCTGCTGGCCTGGGTGTCTCTTCTGCACGAGCCGGCCCGGGCACGCACAGGGCGAGTCAGCGCCTTTGTTCATTTATGAGGCGCCTGCTCTGTGCTCCCTACTCTTCTGGGCGCCCGGGACCGGGGTGCGGCGTGGCCAAGCAGAGTCGCTGCCCTCAAGGGCTTGACATTCTAGTGAAGAAAGACAGATGCTAAACAAACAGAAAAGGAAAAGAAAGAAAAATGGACGAGCTCATTTGAGAGAGTGATGTGTTAGAAAGGAGTGGGCGGCTTCTCTGAAGAGGTGACAGTGGAGCTGAGAGCTGAGAACTTGCCACCTACCAATTTGAGGTCGGTGCAGGGGAGCAAACCTGACGTGTTCACAGATCAGCAAGAAGCTGGTGTAACTGGAGCAGCAGGCAGGGGGGGCAGAGCTGGGGAGAGAGCAAGGTCCCGGGTCACGGAGGGCCTTGCAGGCCGTTCTGTAGAGAAGGGATTGTGTTCTGAATGCAGCCAGTCTTTTGCTTTCCTCTTTTTCACACACACACAGACACACACACAGACACGCACACACACGTCCATTAGCAAATCCTGTTATCTCTACATTCAAAAAGAGATCCAAGATCCACTCTTCTCTCTTTCATGGCCTCTACCCTGGTCTTGTTCACCATCACCTGGGAAGCATCATGTTCTGCCTGGACACCCTCGTGTCTGTCTCCTCCGTGGCGGCCAGCATGGATCGCCTGACGCAGAGGGCATCACCCCGCTCTCTGGCTCCAACCAAACCCACAGTGGCTTCAGAATCATGTTCATTGCAAAGTCCCCTCTATGCCCTCAGGGCCCTACTGGACCCTGTTTCCAATCCCAATCATATTTCCGACCTCATCTCCGGCCTTCCTTCCGGTGGCTAACTGCTGCTGCCACACCAGCCTCCTTCCTGTTTCCAGAACATTCCAGCCCCGCTTCAGCCTCAGGAACTTTGCACCTGCTGTTCCCTCATGGATCCATCCCTCCCTTTATTAGAATTTCTTATTAAATGTTACCTCCTTGGAGACAACTTCAGCTAAAAAAGCATCCCCCGTAACTCGATCCTCTTAAATGCTTTATTTTTCTCCCAACATTTACTGTAGTTTGTCATCATGTTACAGATCTATTTAGCATATCAACCCGATGGGGATTATTGTTCCACCCCCTGCCTTCTCCTTAGTGCCTAGAACAGGGCTTGAAAAATAGAAAGTGCTCAGTGATTATTTGTTAAATAAATTAATTGAGCTCCCTGGATCTCCCCCACTGTCTGGCTTCTGGGGTGCACAACCACCAGGGAGACAGAGGAAAGTTTGCTCCGAGCAATACCCTCCCCTATATGGACATTTGGACAACCTGAAAAAGGGGAGACCCTTTTCCTGGCAGAGGGTCTGGAGCTAAAGCTTCAAGGCAAAATAAATGGGGGAAGTTTGACAGCACACTCGGTGGCTTCTGGAGTATTAGGGTCCCCATGGTGGACATGCTCAGACGCAGCATCTGATGCCCCAGCGCCCAGTTCGCCAGGTTACAAACCCTTCACCCCACAATGACCACCAAGGGCAGAGGCAGCCCATGCAGAGGGGTCAGGGCCCAGGGCCCAGATAGGGGTGCAGGGGCTGGCTCTAGCAGGAGGAGCTCCTGACCGAGACTGGGGGGCAGCGGGGGAGGAGGGCTACAGGGGAGTCTTTTTGAGCCTTGACCCCCTGACCTCTCCAGACAAAGGATAAGTCCCTGTTGGGACCTGTTGGGACCCTGATGCCTCATCGTCCTACCACCCAAATCCTGGCAACAAACCCTGGTCTGGAAGTCCCACCTTGGGCCGCTTCTCCTGCCTCTGTAGCCCAAACATTTGGCCACCAGAGGGCGCTGGAGCCCCAGTCTTTGTCTTGGCACCAGCTGCTCCAATCCTCCAGCCACCAGCCAGCCTGTGGACACTGGTCCCCCCACACTGAACCAGAGACCCTGCCCAGAACATGGTCACCTGGCCCCCCCAAAGGCTCCTGTGGGGTTGCTAGGAGACCCTCTGCCCCAGACCCCTGGAGGCCCAGCCAGGACACTATTGCTAACCCCATAGCACCCCCTCTTCCCACTGATCTCCAGGGGCACAGCCCTCCCCTAAGCTGCCCTTAGGATGTTCAGACATAACCTCCAAAAGCCTCATGCGCAGACGGGGATACTGAAACACAAAGGAAGCGGGGCTGCAGGCAGGCAGTGTCAGGGGAAGAATAACCATGAACAACAGTAGCGAAGACCCTGTCGATTTAGCTATTCCCATGCCAGGACCTGTTCTGAGCTTTTCACTGGTTTTACATCAGTGAACCACACAGACCACCCCACCCCAGCCAGGGCTCCCCCAAAAACTAACTAACCTTAGGCTCCTCCCCACACTACTGGGGTGTGACTTCCAGGATCAGAGACTCTCAGGCCCTCAGCGAGAAGGACTTAAGTCCTCAGTCCCAGGGATTCAAGGCCTCCCCTGCAGCTCCCAGAATCGGCCCTTATTTAACAAGCCCCAGGTGGAGTAACCGTGAAGGCCTGAGGCCCACGGGCTCAGTGCTGGGGGGCAAACAGAGAAGGAAGAAATAGAAAGCATTGAACCGGAGGTTCCGGGGCACTGTGGTGGGCTGGTGGGGTGCAAAGGTGGAGCCCCGGCTCTGGCTCCGAGGCCACTTCTGGTGCCCCCCACCCCTCCAGTCTACACAGGAACTTCCTGGCCTTTTTGGTATTTCAGTTTGTCTGTAAAATGGGACTCAGAGTTCCAGCCTCCCAGGGTCACGGCGAGGATGCTGCCATGCACGCAAAGCTCTTGGGACGAGCGTTTGGGGATCCTTACATCGTGGGTCCTACTGTGTGCCACGCCCACCTGGCAGAGATTGCAGATAAATGATGAAGCCTGGAGTCCTCCAGGTTGCTGATCCCAGAGCTCCCTCTCGCTGCCCTGGTGGTCTTGGGGGAGCCCTGCTACCTCCTCGGGCACCTCACTGACTGCAGTACTGGGGTGCACTTCAGGTAGGCCTCCTGTCAGCGCTGGACAATAAGGTGAGTCCCTGTCAGGCAGGGCCTTAAAGACTAAGGAATTTGGGTTTGACTCTGAGGGTGCTGGAAAGCCAGTGCAGGGGTTTTTTTTTGTTTGTTTGTTTTTGTTTTTTTAGCATGATCTCATTTTGTTCTAGAAAGATCCCCCCTGGCTGAGGGGGAGAATGTGAAGACACAGGGGAGCAGCGAGACCCCAGAGTAGACGGCCTCAGTTAAGGGAGAGGGATGGTGTTCAGGACCCACCAGGATAAGCCGTGATCATGGCCCCCTGACAAGACTTTATTGCCGTTGCAAAGACCATTTCCTCATGAGGAATCAGCGCCAGGTACCTTTGGGAGCCATTACTCAGCTGACCCCGGCAGAGGTGACAGAAGTTGTGGATGGATAATTTCTGGAGGATGAAACACACAGTGTCCACAGAGTGGACAGAGTGGAGTGTCAAGGTCAGCCCAAGGTCTGTGGCCTGAGCTGCTGGAGAGATGGAAATACCATCCCCTCCCCCAGGGCACAGGCGCCAGAGGAGGGCCAGGGGATCAGGCCAGGGGAGGGCAGGTCAGCTGTGGAGGAGGTAAGTTCCAGAAGCATATCCCAGTTGGGGGCGCCTGGAGGTCTGGCTGGGGAGCTAGCAGGCATCAGTGGCACGGGCTGGATGCTTCTCCAGGGAGGGATGAGGACCAAGGTGGAGACATGGAGCTGGACTCAGGAGGTAGCGGTGACAGCGCTGAGACTTAAGCCATAGAGCTTAAGGAAGGCCCCAAATTAGCACATTTTAATGGCAACTTGACCAAAAATCTGTCATGGACTGTGAGTGACCAGGAGGGCAGGTGTCCTGCCCAGGGCAGGCCCCGCCTTGTGCCCTCAGCCGCCAGGTGAGGCTCCAGCCACTCAAGGCCCGAGTGAGAATAACCCTCGAAACGGAATGAACGAATGGATACAAATGATTGTTTAATGTTTGAAGGGTTTTCAGTCTTTATTTAGAAGTTTTGTCACCAGATACAGGCTGGAAGATCTTGACTATTATTTATAGGCCTTGGCCTGTGGTGAAAACGGTTTCCTTATATGCTGGTTCATCCGGTCGCAGTGTTTGGGAAGCTGAGGGAAGACTCTGTGTGCCCTTGACCTGTGACCCTGCACTGGTAGGGTGGCATCCCAGACCTTATGTGGTCAGCAAGGGAGGTGCTGAGCATGTGGAGAGACTGTCACTTGTGGTGGCAGCAACTGGAGGTGGCATGATGCCCCCGGGGTGGGGAGGAGCTGAGGGGAACATAAATCCCTAAAATTGTTCCTTCCCACTTTCCCCCTAGAAGGACAGAAGTTGGCCATGGAGACGACGCTAAACATTGCCAGCTCAGGGACAGCAGTAGAAGAATCTGTAAAACAAACTGCATCAAGTAGCCTTTGTCAATCCCGCGTTCCTCTTCATCAACGTTCCCGCGGTCTGCTGCCCCAGAAACCCCAAGTCTTTCCTGAGTCTCGAATGGTTCTCTGGCCAAGAGACATAAGCCCACGTCCTCACTGACCCTTTGTCGGTGAGGACCCGCAGGTCAGTACACTGAGGTGGCTTTCCATGTGCTGATCTGTCTTTCCAGATCTGATTTACAGGGTCGTAACTAACAAACCTTGGAGGCAGGGAAAGAGGAGCTGCCCAGGCCCTGGGGACACTCAGCAGGTGCTGGTCAGCCCATGGGTTGTATGAGCAGGTGGCTGAGCTGAACAGAGCCTGCCCCGCCAGCCCCACTGGAAGGCTTTTTGGGGGAAGAAAGAGGAAGGTCATCCTTTTTTTTTTTTTTTTTATAAGGAAGATTTTTTTAAAAATTTTATTTATTTTTGCGTAGAAGAGCTGGGGTACAGGCCAGAGGTGCCGGGGAGTGAGAGGACTCACCAGAGACAGAGTGGGGAGCAGAACAGGCAGACTGACAAATACACTGCTAAGGGGAGCAGCGGGTGAGTCAGGAGAGGTCTGCTGCACCATGTGAGTCACCTCCCTGGCTGGGGATCGAACTCATGCTGCAGTGGCTGGCGATAGCTTCATAGTGCTCGTGTCTTTAACCGGGGCACCATCAGGGAGGTCCAAATAAGCATTATTATTATAGCTACTTATAATAAGTATTACTGCAACTTGCCAATATTTGCTAGAGAATCCCTCCCCTCTTTCATTTTTTGATGTTGACTTAGTTATCGGTATTCCTTTATGCATACACATCTTAGAATAAATTCATCGAGTGTCTCCAAAAATCTACTTGGAATTTGGTTGAGATTGCTTTGAATTGATTGGCCAATTTGGAAAGATCTGATGTGAGGATAATATTAAGATACCCTGTCCAAGGGCAGGGAGCTTTCATTTTTTTCAGATTCGCTTCCTTATCTTTTATTGGCATTTTAAGGCTTTTTTCCATCAAGGTCTTATGCTCTTTGATTAAGTTGTTCGATAAACTCAGGTTTTGTTGCTCTTGAGAGTCACACAATATTTAAAATTAGGTTTTAATTGGTTATTACAGTGTTGGTGAAATGATATTGATTTTCCTAGGCTGATCGTATGTCAGCCATGATAATCCCTTCACTAAGAGCCTTCCTGCGTGTTTATTATAAGGGCCAGAAGAATTTCTAAAATAGCCTTATCAATGGTAATGCCAATCACATCACGAATGCAAGTCTATTTCTAATGTATTTCATGTTCATTATCATAGCTGCTGGTGTTGATCAAATATAAAGATGGACGAGGGCTTTGTGATAGCTACCTCTGGAACTGGCGCTTAGTTAACCGCAGCTGACCATCCCTGGAGCAACTGACCACTGCGGGGTAATTTTTTTTTGTTGTTAAAGATTTATTTATTTATACAAGAACCGGGGTACAGGCCAGATGCGCGGGAGGATGAGAGGATTCACCAGAGACAGAGTGGGGAACAGAACAGGCAGCCTGAAATACACAGCTGAGGGGAGCTGAGGGCAAGAGAGGTGAGGTCTGCTGCGCCATGTGGGTCTCTCCCCGGCTGGCCAGGATCGAACCCGCGTTGCAAAGGCTGCGGCCAGCTCAGCAGTGCAGCCCTCAACCGCCTGCGCCACCAGGGACGCCCTCTGCTGCGGTGTAATTTAAAAACCATCTCTCACAACCACTAGGGGGCGCTGAGGCCTCACGTCTATACGAGGAGGGTAACTGCGCGAGGAGAGAAAGAATGTGGCCTCCAGGGGGGGCTCTGTTATGGGGCAGGCTCCTTTTGTGTGCCAGGCGCTGTGCTAGACGTTAGGGATCTAGCCAAGCTCCAGGCAAGCGAGGAGCCAATATTCTCAAGGGGAAGGGTAGACAGACAAGAAAACAAACTACTAGATAATTCAGTTGTAATGCAGTCTATGGAGAAAATAAAACGGGGTGACAAGGCAATGACTGAGGTTGAATGTTTAAATAAGGTGCTCTCTGAGATTACATCTAGACAGGGCTGGGGACCTCCCTGGTGGCTTAGGGGTGAAGTCTCAGGACTATTACCACTGCGGCCTGAGTTCAGTCCCCGACCAGGGAGCTACCCACATGGCACAGCAGATTTCTCCTGTCTCGCCCCCTGCTCCCTTCAGCAGTGTATTACAGTGGATCTGCCTGTTCTGCTCCCCACTCTGTCTCTGGAAAATCCTCTCACCCCCTGCACTTCTGTCCTACACCCCAGTTCTACGCAAAACTCGAAAAATAATAATAAAGTAGGGGTGATGGGGCAGAGGCACCCTGTGGTATCTGTGGGTCCCGGAGGGGGTGGAGTTGGGGGAAGGACAGGGGAGGGGATGAAGCAGGGAAGGTCTTTGGCTTTTGTCCTGAGGCCAGGGGAAGCTGTGGAGGGTGGTGAAGGGAAGGATCTCCAAGGCAGCTTCAGTGAAAGAGCAAGATTAGGCCAAGATCAGGTCACACTTGTGCATTGGCCAGGGAATAAAACATACATTCCTATCCGCCTGCGTTTGCATAAACAAACGCTGGAGCCATACCTGATACCTATACTTTGGGAGGAGAAAGAGGGAACTGCATGGAAGGAAAGTAAGATAAGAGAAAGAAAAGGTCTCCTCTGGCTGATGCAGACACACTATAGACCCTGGGGGCGGGTCAGGCATGTCAGAGGCCTGTCACTCAGTGATCCCGAGGGCCATCTTGCTGGCCCGGGAGGGGACGGGAGGGGCGGTAGGGGCTCGAGGCCCGGCCCCTCCCTGCAGTGAGGTTGATAACAACGTCCACGTAATGTGCAGACACTCCTCTGTGATCTGTGCGTTTCAGTCTTACAATAGGTGCTGTTATAAACACGTCCATTTCGCAGATGTGGAACTGAGGTTAAGGGACTTGCTCTACATCACAGGAAGGAGGACAGCGGGCTTTGAGTCGAGGCAGGACTGCCCGAATCCATGCTACTATCCACTTGGGTATGTTGCTTCTCATTTCTTTTCTTTTTTTTTTTTTAAGATTTATTTATTTATACAAGCACTGGGTACTGTCAGAAGCGGGGGAGGGTGAGAGAATTCACCAGAGCCAGAGCGGGGAGCAGAACAGGCAGACTGACAAAGTACACTGCTGAGGGGAGCAGCGGGCGGCAGGAGAGGTCTGCGCGCCATGTGGGACCCTCGCTGGAGGCCGGGGATCGAACCAGCGCTGCAGAGGCTGCGGGCAGCTTCACAACCCAGTGCTCAACCGCTTCTTTTGCTATAGCAAAACTATAACTGTCCTCAGTGAAGCCGTATTTTGTTTAATAATTTCTTATGTCTTTATTAATTTTGGGGTAGTGTTTGATTTCTCCCCTCCAGTGTAGTCCCCGTAGTTCTCTGTCCCCTCTCCCCCGTGGTACCTGGGATCCATCACCACAGTCCCTTGGGGGAGTTCCTCCCGTTTTGACTCCTCTCACATTGCCTTTTTAGGTAGGCTTCTTAAAGGGCTGTGAGCAGTCACTAACACCTTAGTATGAATCAGTGAACCTCTTCTTGCCACTGAAGAATAGCTATGATTTGGGTGGCACGGTAGTGTAGTAGGGCTCGAGTCCTCATGCCTAGAATTTATTTATTTATTTATTTATTTTAAATATTTATTTATTTATGCATACAAGAACTGGGGAACAGGCCAGAGGTACAGGGAGGTGAGAGGATTCACCAGAGACAGAGTGGGGAACAGAGCAGGTGGATTGACTGAGGTACACTGCTGAGGGGAGCAGCGGGCAAGAGGTCTGCTGCGCCATGTGGGTAGCTCCCTGGCCAGCCGGGGGATTGAATTCATGCTGCAGTGGCTGCAAATAGCTTCATAGGTTGTGTCCCAACCCCTTGCACCACCAGGGAGCTCATGCCTGGAATTTAAAGCTCAGTTGTGGGACTTTCCAGCTGTGTAACTTTCGGCAAGTGACATCACTAACCTAACCACTAGCTTGTTTCTTCCCACAGGAGGGCCCATTTTGTAGATGTGGAACACCTAGGGCTCTAGAACCTGGGTTCCCAGCAGGTACTGCCTCCCTGAGCTGAGGAACCACACCAGGTTCTTCCTGCAGGGAGCAGCAAGAGTTCCCTGGGCCCAGTGGGGTGCTCTGGGAGATGGCCAGGTCTGGACTCCATACGTCCCCTCTGCGTTTGCACACGGTGAGGGGGCACTGGAGGCCCCGAGGCTGTCTCTTAGGGACAGAAAGACCAGCTGAAGGTCTGGGCCTCTGGGCACGACTGCCCGTGCCCCTCCTCCCGGGGCCTCTTCTCCTGCCAGACAGGCCCCTGGTCCTGGCAAGGCTGCTGGTGGGCTGGAGTGGGTCTGGGTTCCAAGGCCCACCTGCAGTCAGTAGGGGCCAGCTGGGAGATATGCTGTCTTGGGGGGTGGGGAAAAGACACCTCAGCTCTGACCCTGCCCCAATTCCAAGCACAGCCACACGCGCCCCCTGACTGTATCCGGCTGGGACCACCAGTACCAGACCTGCCATGGTGAGACTGAAATACTTCCAGATCTCGGAGTGGCCACTGCCACTTCTGATCTTGCCTCTGCCAGGAATCCTTCAGGCCTCTCCAGACCCCAGCATGAAAAGACTAACCTAGGGTCCTCCCTGGTGGAACAGGGGTTAAAGTCTCAGCGCTATCAAACTATCAGCAGCAGCCACTGCAGCAAGAGTTTGATCCCCACCCAGGGAGCTGACCCACATGGCGCAGCAGACCTCTCCTGACTTGCCCGCTGCTCCCCTCAGCAGTGTATTTCAATAGATCCGCCTGTTCTGCTCCCCACTCTCTCTGGTGAATCCTCTCACCACACCCTCTCCCTACACCTCTGACCTACACCCCGGCTCTTATATACATAAATAAATAAAAAGAAATCTTTAAAAAAATAAAAGACTAACCTAGGCCCAACAGACTGCCCCCCCAATCTAGCTCTGGGGGACTTGTCCACCCTGCTTGTGGACAAGTATGGATGGGGGCCGGGAACAAGGGCGGGCACCATACCCGCTAGAGGGATCTGCACATGCACACCGCACAGGGGCATGGGCACGCTCTATGACGAATGGTCGTTTTCATTAAACTAAAACTCCTGCTTTAGGGGCCTCCCCTGGTGGCACAGTGGTTGAATGCTGGGCTGCAAAGCTGCCCACAGCCTCTGCAGCGCCGGTTCGATCCCCGGCTGCCTTTGAGGGTCCCACATGGCGTGCAGACCTCTCCTGCCACGCCCACTGCTCCCCTCAGCAGTGTACTTCGGTCCTTCTGCCTGCTCTGCTCCCCGCTCTGGCTCTGGTGAATTCTCTCACCCTCCCGCGCTTCTGACTGTACCCAGAGCTTGTATAAATAAATAAATCTTAAAAAAAAAAAAAATCTTGGATGGAGTTGCTACCTTTTAAAAAAAAAATTAAAAAAAAATAAAACTCCTGCTTTAGACCTGAGGAACCTGTCCCAGTGTCCAGAATCCTGGGTACTGTCGCCGTCAGTCACACCAGGGTCAAGAAAACTGGGAGGCTGGTAAGTCTAGAAACATAGGCCATGAAGGACTGTTCTGATGGGCTGTTTGCTTATGGCTGTCTATGTCTAACCAATTATGAAAAGGCCAGCTCGAGATGAGAGGGCAGAACGGCTTCCTCGGGGTGCTGTACCCACTGCTCTCTCAGATCAACGGCCAGTGATCTGAACTTATAGATTCAAGTTCTGTCTCTACCCATTGGCTTTTGGTAGCAACAGGCAGCAGAACCCAGGCCCGTTCGATTTCAGTGCCTTCCCTGACTCAGCCCCAAAGTCAGTGTTTCTGCCCACAAATTTAGAGTCCTCAGATATGCGTACCCATTTCACAAAAACTCCTATGCATCCTTCAGAACCCTCATAGGCTTCACCACCCCAGTGAATGGCTCCTCCCATTCCCTGGTCTGGGAAGTCTGGATCTGCTCTGCTCTGGTCCTCTGCACGCAGGCCCTTTTCCCCACCAGGGTGCGCATCCTGATGCCAGAGACCACCGTCTGCTCCTCTTTGCGGCCTTAATACCAGCGTTCGTGCCAGAGACACAGTAAGTGCCTGATGAAACGCAGGGAGTAACTGAATGGTTTGTTCGGGGTTTGCTGTGGCCTGGGGCACACTCAGTCCTGTGTGTCCACCCGCCGAGAGCGCAGCTGGGGCTGGGTCAAGGCTGGGGGCAGCGAGGACAGGATGTGAGTCTAGGGCGTGAGGTCGGCAGGGCCTGTTCTCATGCTCCCTGGCGAGCGGCGCTGGTTCCCCGTCTGTCCGGCTGGGACACGAGGAGCCGCGGGAGGGGGGCCGGGGGGTGCTGGGGAAGCCCGCAGTAACCAGCAAGAGCAAAAACAGCCACGCGATGTTATTGTTACAGAACCATTAAATACAACTTATAAACAAGCCAGGGCGGTGTGGGGCGGGGGAGCAGAGGGATCACGGGGGTGCAGTGCGTGCACGGTCCTGGCGAGGGCTCAGGCTGCTGTCATTGGAGGGGCTGGGCTGGTGGTGGCCTGGCTGCTTGTGGAGGCCTCGCAGCTTCACCAGCAGCTCCTGGATGAAGTCCTGAGGATGGAAGTGGGGTGCTGAGAATACCGGGAGGGCTGGGGGCCCCCAGCCCAGCCCCTCTGAGCTGGGCCCACCGTTCTCTGCTTCCTGGTGAGAGGAGGCAGAGGTGGAGTTCTGGAGGGGTAGAGGCTGGAGATCTGAGGGGCAGAGAGAGAGATAAAGAGGGAGCAGGGAGAGACAGAGATAGGGAGAGACAGAGACAGAGGGGAAGAGACCAAGGGACAGAGAGACGCGCCATGGAGATATTTCTCAGCCGAGATCACCAGGAGGATCCCCAGGGACGGGGGCCTGAGTGGTGTCCAGGGCAGACAGACACATGACGTCTGTCCTTCAGGCAGCCCGGAGCTGGGTAGAGAAACATGAATATTTTTCCCTTTTAAAGCAGAGAAGGAAGTGGGAGGGGTTGAGCGGCTCCGGGTCAGGCCTGGAAGGATGGAGGGCCCCGGAGGTGGGGAGGCAGTCGCGGGGCCAGAGGAGGGAGGCTGCCAGGCAGCCTAGGACGCGGCACCAGCACCGGCCCCACCGCAGAGGCAGAAACGGGAGACAGACGCGGCGGGTCTCAGGGGAGGGAGATAATGGAGGCCCCCGTGGCAGATGGGGAGAGAGGAGACAAAGGGCAACGCCGGAGATGGGAAAAGGCAGCAAGAGACAGAGGGTCCCCAGAGTTCCCTCCACGGGCCCCAGGCATGGCCGGCCTCGGCCTGCCTCCCAGAGGACCCCTCCCACCTCAGAGTGCAGGGGCCAGAGGGCGGCCTGCGCACGGGCCAGAGAAAACTCACCTCTGTGGGGTTCACGCAGGACGTCAGGAGTCCCTAACACGCCGCCCCAGCAGACAAGAGAGAGAGAATAATAAGTGACTCACTGCAAGTCCCCTGCAGCTCCTCCCCGTCCCACCCAAGCCCCGAGCAACAAGACAAATGGAAGTGGGACCCCAGGGTGGGCTCCGCACATGGCTCCGGGGAGAACAGCCGTGGGCCTGATGTAAGTGGGGGCGGGGTGATTCCAGCACCACCCGGACCGGACCGGACCGGACTGCCTCTGGGGCACAGAGAGGGCAAGAAGGTCACGCAGCATTTCCTGCCCCAGGAGAGCAGAGGTCACGGAGCAAGGTCAGTTGCCGGGGGCTGACTCCCAGCTCTGACAGCTGTGTGACCCTGGGCAAGTGATGCAGTCACGCTGGTCTCATTTTCCTCATCTGGGAAAGGGAGATCATCAAGGAGCCAACTCCAGAGATTGGGGAGGATTAAGCGAGTTAATAAGCACAAGCGACGGAAGCAGCGCCGGGCACATAGTAAGTGCTCAATAAACACGTTAGCTGTGCCTGTGACTTTTAGGAAGGTGCAAAGAGAACTGGGGGGACACCTTCCCCGCCACCTACCTGGATTTTCTGGCTCCGCTCCTCTTCACTCTCCAATTCCAATAATTCATCAATGTTCACCTCGTCCGGCATGTCTGCCTCCTAAGGGGGGAGGGGTGGTCAGGGGTCCCTTCCCCTCCATCCCTCGCCTTTGTCTAGGGCTCTGGAGGAGCCCTTGCCGGGCCCAGGGTCCAGCTGGCGCGCTCTGGAGCAGTGGCAGTCAGGGACAGCTCTGCCAAGGCGGGACATCTGGGTGTGTGTGTGGGGGGGTGACAGATGGACTGACAGAGGCCCAGGGGGCCGGTACCAGCTCCGATGCCTGGGTCCCTGGGCCCCTCGACCCGGGGAGCCTCGGGACTGGCACGGGTCCCTCCCCTTGGCCTCAGTTCCCACATTAGAAAACAGGCCTGGTCGAGTCTTGGAATGTCCGATTCTGGGATTTAGGAGAGGGGCTGGCTCTGCCCTTTCAAGGAGAAGTCGAAGCACCAGGCACTGGGGGAGGGGAGCAGGCAGGCCGGAGCCTGCTGGGGACAGTCCCTGGCCCTGGGGACAGAAGGGAAGGGAGGGGTCAGGCCAGGCCCAAAGCCACCCACCGAGTAGGGGGAGATGACCACCAAGGTCGCCCCAAGGTGGGTGGGTGCCCTGAGCACAACTTGGACCTAGCAAGAGGGTGGCCGCGGGGCCGAGGACCAGGCGCAGGCTGTCCTGTATTCCAGCCCCGACAGAACCCAGCTGTCGGCTGACATCCCCAGGCCACAGGCTCCGCCTCCCCCACCCAAAGTGTTGCAACTTGACTTGGGGCTGGGGCTGGGGGGTGGACGGGACCAGCAGCAGCCTGGGGTGTCTGTAAGTGCATCACACACCAGTGTGTGTGTCCCAGGGGCAGGCGGCTTCACGGGGCTCGCCCTCCCAGGGCTGGTGTCCTCGGGGGCGAGGCTCTGGCGCATTTATCTCCCCGACACGAGTTGTTGCCAGCTGTCAGGCCCACAGGGAGCCACCTACATGCGCCCCCGTAGAACGGAGGGGTCCCTGTCACAGCGAGGGCCTGGCTGCCACCGCCACCTGCCACGCAGGACCTGGGCGTCAAGGTGCCTGCCCGCTGCTGTGTCCTTTGGGTGTCGGAGACTGTGCGTGTGGGACAAAGAGCAACGTCACGCGGGGACACGGGGAGAGGCTGCGTGTGTCTGGAGCCTGTGTGTGTCTGGAGCCTGCGTGTGTCTGGAGCCTGCGTGTGTCTGGAGCCTGCAGGGCGTCATCTGGGGCCGAAGCCTGTGTGTGCAGGGGCAGCGGCGGTCTGTGTCCCCTGCCGGGTGTAGCTGGTGTCTGCTGTGTGCCTGCGGCGTCAGGAGGACGCGCGTGGGCAGCTTCTGCCTCTAGGAGATAAGGCGGCAGTAGACCCGGGGTGGAGGGCGGTGGTCGCCGCCTGTGCTGGGCTGAGTCGCTGGAGCTGGGGTGGACGAGTATCCAGGCCAGAGAGGCTGGAGTCCCCTTGTGCGCGGGGAGGGGTGTGTGTGTGTATGGGGGGGGGAGTTGTGTTGCGTGTGTGCACATGGCTGTGGCCTGTGCAATCGTGTCTGCGGGTGTCCCATATGGTGTGTGACATTAGCAAGCGCCGGGTGTGTGGGGGAGCGGCGTGCACGCGGCTGTGCGGCGCTGGCTTCGCGTCCCTGCACGTCTGTGAACACTGTTGCTCCTTGGCGGTGTCTGCTGGAAGCTCTCCTATCACCATGCCTATGTTTGGCTGTAAGACACTCCCCTCCCCTCACTGTTCCTCCAGATATGGCCACTGGGCGCCCCAGCTTCGCCTCCTCACCACCCCCCCATGCTAAACCCCTGGCCCTCCAGGGGTAGGACGCACCTCAGAGACCCGGGAGTGAGTCTCCGGGCGCGCAAGCAGAGCGCCCCCGAATACACGCAGACCCTGGCCCGGGCGCGCGCGCTCCGGGCTGAGTGTGCACCGGCGAGCCCAGCCGAGACCCCGAGACCCCGAGGTGGGGGGTCCCCCGCTGCGCCGCGCCCCGCCCCGGCCTCACCCGGCCGCGGTACAGCTCCTCCAAGCGCCCGTCGATCCACTTCTCCACGTCCAGCCGCCGCTGCAGCTCCCGCCGGTCGTACTTGACGGTGACCCGCGCGTGCCGTTTCTGCAGCCCCCCGGGGCTGCCCCCGCCCCCCGCGCCGCGCGCCCGCGCCGGGGCCTGCAGCTTGCTCAGCACGCGCTTGCCCAGCCGCTGCGCTGCCATCGCGGCCCCGGCCCGGCCGGCTGTGAGCCCGCGCGGGGCGCCCGGGGTCCTCTTACGCGCCCGGGCGGGGCCGGCGGGGGCGGGTCTCCCGACGGGGTGGGCGGCCCCGCCCCGCGCCGCCCGCGCCTCAGTTTCCCCGCCTGCGGCGTGCGCGCCGGCCGCCGCGCCGGCTTAACGGCGCCCTCAGGAGCGGGCGGGGTCCGGGACCCCACCTCGGGTCCGGGCGTCCCGGGGTCTCCGCGCCTGGATCCCGGGGGGCGGGGTCCCGGGACCGGCTCTCGGGGCCGCGCCCTCCCTGCGCCCTCTGTCGGCTGGAAAGGGCGGTGCAGGGCCGCGCCGCCGTCCTCCGGGGAAGGTCACGCGGCCGCTCTGGCAGCGGCTCTGTGGTCCTGTCCTGCGTTCGCGCGGCCTCCCCGCGTGCGGGCGTTCATCCCCTCAGTTTATTCAACAGACAGTCACTGAGTGCCTGCTCCGTGCCAGGCGCTCTTCAGGCCCCGGGGGCAGAGCAGCAAACAAGGCAGACACCTCCAGTCCACGTGGAGATGCCTTTCTTGTGCCGAGACAGGCAAGAAGGAGCTATTAAGGGAGCCCCAGCCACTGCAGCACGAGTTTGCTCCCCGGCCAGAGAGCTACCCACATGGCGCAGCAGACCTTTCCTGCTGCGCCCGCTGCTCCCCTCAGCAGTGTATTTCCGTCAGTCTGCCTGTTCTGCTCCCCGCTCTGTCTCTGGTGGATCCTCTCGCACACACACCCCGCCCCCCCGCCCCGCATCTCTGGCCGAGACCCCATGAATAAATTTCAAAAATCTTATTAAAAAAAGAAACACCAGAAAGTACAGTGTGTTATGCAGTGTATTAGGATATGGTATGGCTTTTGGCGTAATGTGAAGCAGAAAGGAGAAATGGTCTGAGGGTGGGGTGGTAGTGTTCGTGAGGACGACCAGAGAGTTTCCCTACTTCCCACTTCCATTTTTAAGCAGCGAGAATGATACTTTACAATGTCCACTTGACCACCTCCCCGCCACCCATTAAACCTATCCGCTATTAGACAATCGTTTCTTACATATGACCCCACAAGCACTAACAACATTAACTAGACAGCAACAAAATTAATTGTGTTTCAAAGGACATCATCAAGAAAGTGAAGAGACACCCTCAGTAGGGGAGTAAAAAATCACAAATTGTGTGTGTAGGCACCCCTATCTAAAACGTAGAAGTCGTGCAACTCAAAAAGTCAAATCACCCAATTAATACCGGACAAAGAATCTGAACAGACATTTCTCTAGTATATATATGTACATATATAATAGATATATACAACAATAATGTATCTATTATATATATATATCAGGACATACGTGAAAAGATGTTCAGCATCATTAATCAGCAGGAAAAACACAAATTAAAAAGTACAGTGAGATATGACCTCACTCCTACTGAGGTGGCTGTAGTGTGTGTGTGTGTGTGTGTGTGTGTGTGTGTGTGTGTAAGAACTGGGGTGCAGGCCAGAGGTGGGGGAGTGGTGAGAAGATTAACCAGAGACAGAGTGGGGAGCAGAACAGGCGGATCCACTGAAATACACTGCTGAGGGGAGCAGTGGGCGAGACAGGAGAGGTCTGCTGTGCCATGTGGGTAGCTCCCTGGCCGGAGATGAAACTCAGGCCACAGTGGCTGGGATAGCCTGATAGCATTGAGACTTTAACCCCTGCGCCACCAGGGAGGCCCTATAATTTTTTTTTTTAATGGGAAATGCTGTGTTGACGAGGGTGTGAAGAAATCAAAACCCTCATACTTGGCTGGTGGGAATGTAAAATGGTGCACTCTCTTTGGAATACAGTCTGGCAGTTAACTTAGAGTTACCAAATGACCCAGCCCTTCCACCCCTAAGAGAATTGAAAACATGTTTACACAAAGCTTTACATTATATTGTCTAAGGCTGAATGTCCCCAGCAGTATTGTTGGCAATAGCCAAAGGATGGGATTAGCCCAGCCCATCAAACGATGAGTGGAGGCATAAAATGTGGTAAATCCATACATACCTAGCTGGGGGGTGGTATTTGCTTTGAGTTGCTCCTGTTCTCAGGAATGTGAGATAGGAGAGCAGCAGCCACAGAACTAGACCCAACTGGTTAGTCCCAAGATGGCGAGTACATGCGATATGAACAAAAGGGAAAAGTTCGAGCGTGCTGAGTGCAAAAGGAAACCTTTGCCCAGGACCATGGAGACCCTGCCCTGAATTCATGATGTACCAGTCCCCCCTAAATAAAAGCAGGGAGAAGGTGTTTATTTTTCACAAAATTTCTCCCTTGCTTGTTAGGCAACAGAGTTCCTGTTAAACTGAACCTGGTTTCTGAATTTCTGGCTTTCTGTCACCAGGCAAAAACGACCCTCACCTTAAGCAAGGTAGGGTGACACATGTAATAGAGTATTACTTGGTAATGAAAAATGAAGTGCTGATTTAAGATTTATTTTTATTTATTTATGCATACAAGAACTGGGGTGCAAGCCAGAGGTGCAGTGGGTGAGAGGATTCACAGAGCAGAACAGGTGGATCCAGTGAAATACACTGCTGAGGGGAGCAGCAGGCAAGACAGGAGAGGTCTGCTGCACCGTGTGGGTAGCTCCCTGGCTGGGGCTCAAACTCAGGCCATAATGATGATAGCGCTGAGACTTAACCCCTAGGCCACCAGGGAGGCCCTGAAGTGCTGATTTATATTGGACCATGGATGAACCTCGAAATCATGCTAAGTGAGAGAAGCCAGACACAAAAGACCACCCGTGGTATGATTTTATTTCTAGGAAATGTTCAAAATAGGCAAATTCACAGGGAGAAAATAAATTTGGTGGTTGCTGGGGCTGACAGATGGGAGAGAACAGGGTGACTGCTACAGAGTATTTTTTCTTTGAAGGTGATGAAATTGATTTTGGTGTTGATGCCTGTTTGGAGAGATGTGGGTTCAAAGAGCAGGATGCAGGGTTCCATTGAGAAAAGCTTTATCAGAGCTCCACTTTCAGCAGCACGTGGTGAGTGTCCCCACAAGGCAGAGATGTTTAGTCATATCTCAAAAGGCAGATTTATTATAAAAAGGGAAGAGGTTGGCGCAAGAGGTTAAACACAGCACTATGAAGCTGTCTGTAGCCTCTGTAGCATGAGTTCCATCCCTGGCCAGGGAGCTGACCACATGGCGCAGCAGACCTCTCCTGTCCATCCCGCTGCTCCCCTCAGCAGTGTCTTTCAGTCAGTCTGCCTGTTCTGCTCCCCACTCTGTCTCTGGTGAATCCTCTCACCACCCCCCACCTGTACCTCTGACCTACGCCCCAGTTCTTGTATGCATAAATAAATAAATCTTAAAAACAAAAAAACAAAAAACAAAAGGGAAGGGAAGGATGCTTGCAAGGGGAGAAGGTCAGGGAAGAGAAACACCTTCTTAATCAGAGGCAGGTAGGAGGGCTGCTTCTTGCCAGCGCGGAAATTGCACTGATACACTCTTCTCTTTGGGAGGGGTTCATTCCTTTGTGGAGTTGTTACTGTTGTTCATTTAATTATATCTAGGGCGTCACTTGGTAGATTTGGGAGGACTGGTGATTGTGGCACTGGCCCTCCATCTCCATATCCCACCTCCAGGATGCACCTCCCGAAACTTTTCTAGAGCTGGTTTAACGACTATGTTAATCATTTCTGCTCCCACCTCCGCTTTCTGGTCTTGTGATGTCTCCTTATCAAATTTTCCACTCTTAGCCTCTGTAACAGGGTGGTCCCCAGGAAAAGGGGAGGTGCCAGGTTCCCTGCACCACCCAAGGGAGGGTGGAGCTGAGCAGGGAGGAGGAGAAGCTGGAGAGGAGACTGGAGAAGGAAGGAAGCAGGATGGAGAGCAAGAAGGAGACCTGGAGGAGGGACCTGGAGCAAAGAGACACACGACGAAGCTGCGCTCGCTCACTTGGCCCTCGGCTGGTTGCAGCAGATGTGGGTGAGACCCGCGGGGAGGTTGCCAATGGCAGCTTTTATCTTGGTTTTGATTTTGCTCTTTTTCTCCCAGACTTGTCTGTTTCTGACCCATTTCTATGGTTCCCCACCTGGAGGTGCTTTTGACTCCTGGCAGGCTTTTGGGCCTCGGTTTGGCCAACCCTGTTTGGCTGGGCATTTACTCACGAGGGGATGGCAACTTTGGTGTTTGATTTGGAAACTATATTCTTTGTCTTTTCTGTATTGCACACTAATTGTATTAAAATTTCTTTCCATGAAAGGTCTATTTGTTTTGTCTTGATGTGGCAGACGGTAGAATCTATTTATTTTTTTAAATTTAAAAAAATATTTCATTTTATGTAATTCTTACATCATTTTTCATCTTTGCACAATGTATGCATTTTCATTTTGGTTATATTCCCCATACAATTGCACCCCCCCTTATTTTGACCCTAATCCTTCCTCTCTCCCCTGCCCCCCCGCCCCCTGTAGTCTGTCTCTGGTTTATAGATGCTTGTTGATTTTTACTTTGTATTAATTAGTCTTTTTCCTGGTCCCTTATTTAGGTTTTCTGAATTCCTGCTATGAGTGAGACCATCCGGTATTTTTTTTTTCTTTTTCTTTCTGACTTATTTCGCTGAGCATGATCCCTTCTAGCTCCATCCATGTTGCTGCAAAGGCAGAATCTATTTAGAGCAGAAAGGTTTGGAAGTTCTCGGGTGTTCCTCTCCCTGTCCTGTAACACTCCATCAATGTTAGTTGCATGACTGAATATACCTAAAACCATTGAATTGTGTACTTTTTAAAAGGGTGAATTGTATGTTATCAGAGTTGTAGCTCAATAAAATTGGCATATTAAAAACAAATACAGTGTTCATAGCTCCCTGGTGCCTGGAGGACAAAGGTTAAGCTCCTTAGTTTAGCCATCAAAACTATCTGGCAGGGTCCCTTTTCCACACCTTTATTCCAACAGTTCGTCTTCCCCAGAATGATGTAGAGCTCACTCTTCAGCTGCCTCAGATGTCACGTGTACATTTAGGTCTTCCCCAAACCCCTCTTTTCACCTCGTAACTCCTGTGCCCTCTACCTGGCTCTATGTTTTATCTGTAACATTTGCTATCTTGTAAGGGTACATGCAACTTACTCATTTAGTGTATACCAAAGTGGGTGGAGGGCAACAGGAGGAGTTTGCATTTGGTACAGGCAAAAAAGGGGGTGCTCTGTCTGCAGAGACTTGAAAAAAAAAAATAAAAACTTGGCCGAAAGCCAAGTTTTGATTATGCCACCCACTGACAATTTTATTTTATTTTAAAAAAAAGATTTATTTATTTATTTATACAAGCACTGGGTACGGTCAGAAGCCCAGAAGGATGAGAGAATTCCCCAGAGCCAGAGGGGAGAGCAGAACAGGCAGACTGACTGAAATACACTGCTGAGGGGAGCAGCGGGCGAGTCAGGAGAGGTCTGTGCGCCATGTGGGACCCTCGCCTAGCGACCGGGGATTGAACCTGCGCTGCAGAGGCTGCGGGCAGCTTTGCAACCCAGCGCTCAACCGCTGCACCACCGGGGAGGCCCTACTGACAATTTTAGATAGTATCAGTGATAAAATAATCCCTCTACCCCTGGAAAGAAATCTTTTATGGCCTACTTCCTAAACAATTAATATAACTGCTGCCAAGTGTTAATAATAGAGCAGTAGCCTTAAACTAGGTAATTTTTTGACTCTCCTTTAGTAAATATTGTGTTTGTGGTCAGTTTTTTTATTGCTGCATAATAATGCGGTACCACAAACTCAATGGCCTAAAGGACATACACTCATTATCACATAGTTTTCAAAGGCCCAATCCAGTTACAGCTTGGTCTCTGCTCCAGGGCTTCACCCAGTGCAATCATGAACATGGTGTCCAGTCTCCCTGGTGTTTCTATTGGTTAGAAGCAAGTCCTAGTGCCAGTTCTCACTCAAAGGGAATAGGCTACAAAGGCCATGAACTTGGGGGCTGCCCAACATCTGTCAGAATAATCTATAGAATATTATATTACACATTTTTATGCCGCATTATATATTATATAGAATATAACAATATAGCTGTTATCATAAAGAATTCCCAGGCACACAGTTGACTTCTGACTTACATAAACTCAGCTGTATGTGTTTATTTTGAAAATAAGTTCACAGCAATTTGGAATTATTTGGGCTTGCATCAAGCATAGTTTGAGTGTCCAATCTCTGAGACGCAACATATTCTTGCATTTAAGGAACAGAGTCACAATGAAAATGATAGCACAATGATCACAAAGAAACCATGCTGTCATTTTATGTATTCATCACAGTGAATCAGTGTGTGAACTGCAAGGTGTAGTATTTTCATTTGGTAAGTGCAAATTTTCATTCATACATAAAATATTTTACTGAGTTTGAGTAATATCTTTTAAATTGAAATTTGTTCATTTTCAAATGCTAATTTTCACATGAAAGAACAGATAAAATAATGATTCTTACATGATTATTATTGAAAAATATTTTGCAGTGGAGGAGGTATAAAAAAATTAACCATTCCAGGTGTCAGATAAAAATTAACCATTCCAGGTGTCAGATGTGCCAGTCCCACCACTGTTCCCAGCATTACAGTGTGTCCCAACAGGGCAGGAGCTCTGCTTTGCTCACGGTTGTATCTTCCCCAGCATTTCTGAGCAATACCTGGTTTGCAATGTGTGCTCAGTGAATGTGCTGAATGAACAGATGGATGGATGAATGAATAAATGCATAAATGGGATGATGACTCTTCTCCATGACCACCTCTCACCACATTCCAGTCCTTCTGCTCCGCTAGGGCTTAGTGGGGGTTGTGAGTGGAGATTCTGGTGCTGGGGGAGAACTTTGGTTTCACATTCAGACTTTTGACCTCTATGCAAGATTAGGACCCCAAATGCAAGATTAAAGAAGATGCTTGGTAAAAAACTTAAATTGTTTCAGGCAAACGCCGTGTTTACAGTGCTTCCTTATTACAGCCCCGTCTCCTGAAGTATTGGTCTTCATCTCAGGACAGGGAAGCCTGGAGGCAGGGCTTGGGACTGTTGTTCATTCATGGGTCCATCACCACCGCCAGGAAACCCTCTCTGAGCATTGGAATGAAAGGGAAAACCATCTGGGCTCCTACCACGCCCTAACCATCTGGGGCTTTCACCCCCCTTCTGATCACTCATCCTGTGATTGCCCGGTCACTTCCTTAATCATTCTGCCCGAAGTTCCCGTCATCACTCCCTGGACTTTCCGTCTGGTGACGCAGATCACAGGTAGCAATCCAGCAAGGTGCCACCGTGACAGGTGCTCAGTAAGCATTGAACGTAGGGAGGAATAAATTACTTTCTTTTTTTTTTTTTAAAGATTTATTTATTTATTCATACAAGCACTGGGTACAGTCAGAAGCGCGGGAGGGTGAGAGAATTCACCAGAGCCAGAGCGGGGAGCAGAGCAGGCAGAAGGACCGAAGCACACTGCTGAGGGGAGCAGCGGGCGGCAGGAGAGGTCTGCGCGCCGTGTGGGACCCTCCTCCGGGGGCCGGGGAGCAGCCGGGGATCGAACCTGCGCCTCAGAGGCTGCGGGCAGCTTCGCAACCCAGCGCTCAACCGCTGCGCCACCGGGGAGGCCCAGAATAAATTACTTTCTAAGGAGAAAGCAGAAAAGAGAAAGACAGGTTTCCTGGAGGAGCGTGTCAGCGCCCCCTCCTCCCATCCCGAGGCCCCTTCCCAGGGCCGCAGGAGCCCCAAGTCTCAGGTGACCCTCGCCACCTCCTGGAATCGATCCTGTCCGGGGCGGGGCCAACGCAATCCCCGCCCCCGCCCGGGGCCAGGGGCGGGCCCAGGTGCGCGGCGGCCGGCAGAGGCCGTCAGGTGCCGCTCTCTGCGCCTGCGCCCTGCGCGCCCCGCCTCGCCAGGTGCGCCCCGCCCCCTCCTGTGGCCACCTCCGTAGCTGCTTGGAGGCGGCCGCCATTGCCCCTAGTGCCCACCGAGCGCTCGGCGGCGCGGGGGTCTGGCAGGTGGGCGGGTCGCCGAGGGTCACTCGGACCGCGGGCCAGGGAAGGGCGGGCGCTCCGCGGCGCGAGGCCGGGCGGCGCACACCGAAGGCGCGAGAAGGGACGCGCCCGCCGACCCCCGGCAGCGCCCGCACCTGCCCCCCAGCGCGCCAGCGCGCGTGCGCGGAGAGGGTCTTCCCGCACCTGCTCGCGAGACCCCAACGGCTGCGCCCACGCCTCGCGGGCTCCGCGGTCATGGCGCGGCGGTGCGGCCTCTGGCGGGCCCGGGCGCTGCTCGCCCTGCTGGCATCGCTGCTCCTCTGCGGGGCCGAGGCTGCCGACGCGGACCCGGGCGTCCACGGTGAGGGCCGGGGCGGCCGCCTGGGGGGGCTGCGGGGGGCTGAGGGGGCTGGGAGGGCGGGGTCGGCCGCCTGGTGGGGCTGGGGGAGCTGAGGAGGCTGGGGGGGCTGGGTCGGCCGCCTGGGGGGGCTGAGGGAGCTGGGGGGCTGGGAGGGCTGGGTCGGCCGCCTGGGGGGGCTGGGGGAGCTGAGGAGGCTGGGGGGGCTGGGTCGGCCGCCTGGGGGGGCTGAGGGAGCTGGGGGGGTTGGGTCGGCCGCCTGGGGGAGCTGGGGGGCGCTGGGGGCCCGGGAGCCCGGGCGGGGCGTCAAGGGGCAGGGGCGGGGGGTTGGCTGGGGGCCGCGACTGAGCCCCGAGAGTTGGTGGGCGAGGAAATTGGAGGCGATTTAATGATTTTCGGGGGTGTGGTGGGGCCGGCCCGGGAACGTTGCGCCTTGAGAAGAGCTTGGGGAACCTCGAGAGGAGGGCGGAGGAGCCAGGGCCGGGAAAGTTTCCTGGGCGGAGGGCGGAGGCTGGGGGTATTGACCCAGAAGGAGTGGCGGGCGCCCTTCCCCTGCTGGGCGTGAGAGGCCGCGGAGGAAAGCCCAGGAGGCAGGTCCGGGAGGGTAGGGCCTGGACCTGGGGTGGCCAGATGGCGCTTTTAGCCTCAGGAAAGGAGCCCCCACCCCTTCTCTTAGGTCACCGGCCATCGGCCTCCCTGGAAGCCTTTCTGTTTCTAGATCGGGGGCAGTAGAGGCGCCTCCAAGAAGAAAGGTGATGCTCAGTGATCCCCAGAGGAAAGGGAAGACAGACAAAAGCCTTGATGGGGAGAAACTGCCAGGGTGCAAGCTGGGAGCCCCTCGGTTTTGCGAAGCTGGGCTTGGAAATTCCTGGAACTGTCCTTAGTGCTTGTAAGACCTGACTGAAGCCACTACTCTCTCAGGAAGCTTGGCCTGAAAGGGCTTTTGGAACAAGTGTTGTTATAACCTTGACTGCGTCAGACTAGCACAGGCGGCTCTGAAAAGAACTCTCTGGAAAGGAGAATTCCTTGGTTCAGCAACACTGACGGAGGCTGGGGGGGCTGGGTCGGCCGCCTGGGGGGGCTGAGGGAGCTGGGGGGGCTGGGGGAGCTGAGGAGGCTAGGGGGGCTGGGAGGGCGGGGTCGGCCGCCTGTGGGGGGGCTGAGGGAGCTGGTTGTGTGTCAGGGACGGTGCTGGCGCTGGTGATCGCAGCTGTGACTCAGACCAGCCAGGCCTCTGCGTTCACAGTCCTTGTGCTCCAGTGGGAGAGACAGAGACAGTGAGTAAACATTTAAGTGAAGAGCACTTGCCCACAATATGGAATTACTAAGCAGTGAATGAACGGGGTGAGTGCCCAAACAGGGCCATGTAAGATGAGGAGGCCAGCCCCTTATCTCCGTGGTCAGGGGACACCTGTCTCAGGAGGGCGACATCTGAGCGCTCACTCACATGAGCAATGAGGTGGAAGCCAACAAAGACCTTCCCAAGTGTCGGTGGAAGGTAATGCAGTACAAAGGCCTTGAGGCTGCAACATGCTGGTAGTATTCAAGGAAGATGTGCAGCTGGGGCGCAGCAGGGGAGGGGAGGATGTGAGGTGCTGCCTGGGAGTCAGATGTCTAAGTTGGGGTGTCGGGGGCAAAGGGCATGAGAAAACTGGGTGTGTGACTTCAGCCAGCACCTGTGGTAACTTCTAAAGACTATGCATTTTCCTACGCCCCAGGCAGAGTGAAAAGTTAATGGGGATGTCAAAGACCCGAGGGGAGAGGTTCAGCTCTTGGGAACCAGGAATCAGGAATGCAGGTGTCACGGGTTCTTGCAGTGTGAACCGGAATTGGCAGCACTTCCAGACTTTTTTTTTTTTTTTTTTTCCAGATGAAATAATTATTTTCCGGTGTGCTTTCTGGCAGGTTACCTGGCCTGGGACTTGATCAGAACTGAGTTTGGGACTAACCTCCATTGCTTGCTCCAAGGTCCTTTGCGTTGTGTAATCCTTGAGACAACCTGGTGCTTTGGTGGTGGCGATGCAGTTACAGGTCTTGCCTAAGGCCACGCAGCAGCAATGATTGACGAGGCTGCATGGGCCTTTCCTGTTCTTCGTGGCCTCCCTGGCTGTGGCCCAGACTAGGCCTGCTGACCTTTCAGGAGTGTTGCCCGTCTGGCTGTGTGAACTAATGCCCTGACTTATCTGGAATTTGTTTGTTTGACAGCTTCAACAGCTTAATTTGAGACGGGAGTTACTTTTGATCTCCTCCCCATACCCCCGACCCCTTTCTCATTGCTTCGATTTTTCTCAGGAAGCAAGGTTGTTGAGAAAGAAGTTAAGAAAGAAGTTTCTCCAGCCACAGGCAGCTGCATAAGTGCCACCAGATGAACGGGTGGAAAGGGAGGGACGTGGGCAGTGACTGTGTGCAGGGGTGACTGTGGTGGTTGTCAGGGAATTTTGTGTGTGTGTGTGAAGACAGGAGGTGACTGTGGGGTAGTGGAAGGGCCGATGGTAGGGCGGATAGATTGTTGGAGCTTCAGAGGGAATGACCTAGAAAGATAAGATATGATGGGTCGTGAGTGAACGTTGTAGAACTGAGGTTCTGAAGAGGCTGCAGTTGCTGAGACAGAGTCTAGGCATGACCATGAGAGGGCTGGGAGGACAGGATACAGGGGAGAGGAGGCCTAGTACCGTGAGACTAGGATGTCCTGCGGCTTCTGCCTGGGTGCGGAAGTCCCCTGGGAGCTGTGGGAATGGCGGGAGCCAGAGCTAGTCATGAAGGGAGGAGCAGTGATCTGGGTCAGCAGGTGGTACTCAAGGTGGGCTTGGGTCTACCCTGGTGATAACTGGCGGGTTTTGAGGGGGTGAAAGAGAATGGTCTGGAAGCAATGCTTGAGTAATAAGGAGGACGTCCCACTTTAGAAGGGCACAAGAGAAGGCACATTTTCAGGGAGCACACGGGTCCTTAGAATAAGAAAGGGACAAGAAAGTTCAGAGAAACAGTTGAGGAGAGGCCTCCCTGGTGGCCTAGTAGTTAGTCTCAGCTATCAACCCTGTAGCCTGAGTGCCATCCCCGGCCAGGGAGCTACCCACATGGCGCAGCAGACCTCTCCTGTCTCTCTGCTGCTCCCCTCAGCAGTGTATTTCAGTCTGCCTGTTCTGCTCCCCACTCTGTCTCTGGTGAGTCCGCTCATCCCCACACCTCTCGCCTGCACCCCAGTTCTTCTCTGTATTTTTTTTAACGATTTATTTATTTATGCATACAAGAATTTGGGTCTAGGCCCCTTTGTTGTTGTAAGCATTTGAGTTGTGACCTCCACCTAAAGAACATGTCCCATTTGGTAAAAGGAGGTGGATAAAGCACAATTCTTTATAAATTGTACAGTGCATTGTGTGTGTGTAATAATGTTATTGTCAGGGTGGGAAAATCCTTATCAGGTGGCCACATATGTGGTTTTTTTTTTCTTTAATCTGCTGTAGGTGATCCGTCCTGGGATTTGCAGGACCCTGAAAGATACAATTTTGATCACTACAAAGGCAGATGATATATTTTCTCTTAGAATACAGCCTCCAAAATTCCTTTGGGTGGTGGTCAGTTAAGTGCCTCCTGCCAGTGACTTTGTGCCAGGCTCATAGTCCTTTGTCGGTTGTTCGTGAGAATTTCCACCGGAGACCAGTTCGGCAGCATTCGCTGTCCAGCCGCCGCCTCGCTTCCAGGCGGTCTTCAGTTCACGTTCACCTCTCAAGTTAAGGTTTCGACTAGCAGGGTTCCTTTCATCGGGCCTCCGTGAAGCTGGTTACTGGTCCCCACCCCTTTCCCTCCGTCCTGCGGAGGGGTCGGGCCGCAGGGAGAGGAGCCCTGGAGCTCAGCTCGTGTGGGTCATCAGCCTCTCCAGGGTAGCATCTTCTCGGCCTTCACAGACGAGGCGCTCATGCTACGTACAGTAGAAAGACAGTTTGGTTTTTCAAAACAGGCTGAGTTCTGAGTTGGAAATAGTTATTTGTTGATTTAGTCTACGTGTAAGCAGGCAAAGTACTCAAGGGGCCTCCCCTTGTATAAGCCAGTGGGGATACAAAGACACCAGCTTGCATGGTAAACGCAAAGTGAGTTCTTTGGATTCGTGCAAGCCAGCAGCCAAGTAGTCCTTGGAACCAAAACCAGGCTGCCCGACTTGGAGTGGGCTTCTGATTCTAGAGGGAGGTTACCCACATTCATAGGCAAGCTGGTACATAAGCAAGGAAAGTCTGGTCCGTGCAAGAACGAATGGGCTCACGTGCTCCAGCGCTTAGTCACGGCCCACGCATCCGTGTTAGTTGGGAGTTGGACTTTGCATGTCATAAAATGTGGCTCTGTGACCTCTGCAGACTGACGCTAGTTGGGACTGATCAGGGCTTGCGGTGGTGTGTCAGGAAGTGGCCGCCATAGCCTTGTGGGCCTTGGCTGTTCAAGCTGACCCTGCAGGAAACTGCTCATGAAGCTTCCCTGGCAGGAACACCTGGCAGCGTAGGCCACGGCGGAGAGGAGAGGAGCAGTGAGGACAAGAGAGGAGCGGCGCGTCAGGCATTTATCGAGCACCTACCGGGTACCAGGCACAGCTTTAGGTCCTGGAAAAGCAGCACTGAAAAGCGACAGCTCCCCAGTCTATGGCAGTTCTAGTGCCACTAAGGGAAGGCAGTACAATAAGGAACAAACAATTCATACATGTGTGGTGATGCTATGAAAACAAGTGCTATAAAAAATAAGTGTTTTTTGCTTCGTACTAAAAACATGGCCTTGAGGCTCAAATGATTGATGACAGCCCCCCAGTCCCACAGGCCTTGCTCCTAGATCCATGGGGGAAGAGTGGCCTTTTTCCACCAGAAATGTTTCTTTCCTTTTTTTTTTTAAAGATTTATTTATTATTTATACAAGAAGCGGGGTACAGTCCAGATGCGTGGGAGGATGAGCGGATTCACCAGAGACAGAGCGGGGAGCAGAACTGGCGGATGGACTGAAATCCATGGCTGAGGGGAGCAGCGGGT